TGAAGCCTTTATGCACCAGCCATTTTCCATATCCAGCCTAATGCAGACACAGGCGGGAGCTCAGAGCGTGAGCTCTGCTCAGGTACTCAGCTGTTCTAACAACTAAGAAGTGATGACTCCAACTCATTCCCTTTTGGGGCGAATTATTTCTATTAATAACAAGAAAATATTGTTTCTGTTCCCCTCTGCTGGGAACCCTTCCCATGTGCAGCACTGGCACCGCACAAGTTAGGGCATCCAAAGCTTTCCTGCATTAGGAGCAGGGTATGAGCCTAAAATTCTCCTCTCATGCCCGTGCCTTCTCTGAAGYGTCTCCACCACCAAAACGTGGTGCTTTGCATGAAACACATCCCCATTCTCTGCTGCAGAGGAGAAAGGCTGCAGCCTGCTAGTCGGGACATCAGCATGGCAGATCCAGGTGCCACACCAGTGAACAGGTAATTTTATATAAAAACTGAAGATCTGGACAAAGGAAAAAGGTCCAAGCCTCACTGGCCTGCAATGGCAGGTTGTCCTTGTGCCCATTTTCAGTGCGGCTCCACAGGCAGCACTTCTCCATGCTCAGTGGCTGTCTGGGGGATGAACAACGTGCTGGGCCAAATACTCTTTGCTGACACAGCACCCTTCTCGTTCCTCCAGCCATGATCCACCACTGCCATCTCCTCGGAGCAAAGCCAGAGCCAGAGCCCACATGAAGGGACTGACACCCCTCGCTGCTCCCCAGAATCAAAAAGGAATTCTGCCCCACCAGCACACCGCAGACAAGGGAAACACATCCAAGGTGCTCAGCTCTTCTCCTCCTGCTACCTGGGATATTTAGCTCCTGTTCTTCCCCGTTTTCTCATGGAGTGACACCACAAACGCAGGAGAAGTGCCGAGCGTTGAGCACCGCGCCACTCACTAACCTGTCTGCACCATCCCTCCTCCTCCTCCTCCCTTTCCTTTGGCTCTCAATGCAGACGAGCAAAGTTACCAGTCTGCTGGACAGCCAAAGAGACCCTCCACRCTGCCCTCAATGATGCATTTGAGGATAACGTGGCACAACCCGATGCAGAGCAGACTCAGCTACAAACGCTGGATAAATATCACACCGGCTCTTAAAAMGGCACCCGGGGCCGAAGGCGAATGCAACGAGGATGCCGTGAGAGGGGGAAATGGAACGAAAGAGGCAACACAGCGGGAAGGGAGAGAACGATGCGTTTTGGGTGCCTCCGAACAAGAGCTGGGGCCTTCCCCCGGCACTGGTATCGCTGGGCCTCTTAGGTGTGTTTATTTTTAATAAGGCTGCTATCAATAGCAATATTAGCAGAAGCTGGCAGCATGTGAGGCTCTCTCGCGTGCTGCTCGCCAGCACGTAGCTGATGCCAGGGATGCTGTGACAAGCGCTGCGCTCGGCTCCCGTCCCAGGGCACCACGAATTAGCAGCCTGCTCGGCAGGCGTGGCCCTGTCTTCTACTTCCCAGGCTGCCAAATGTTCTCATTACCCCAGAAATATGCCAAACTCTGCAGTATAACACAGCACTGCTGATCTCAGTGTCGCACGTGGGTAGCTAATACCACAGGTCAATAAAACACTGCTAAAGAAGACAGACAAACCCCCCGAACAGCTTGGGCAGCTCCCCGGGGCTGGGGCGGCAGCACGGCCGCCCGCTCACGCGTTCCGCCCGTCTCAAAGGTCCTCAGCTCTGACCTGAGAGTCTCGACCCAGCGAAGGTGACGCATGCAGGGCTCCTCGTGCTCGGCTGGGCTCTTTCCCACAGCTCCCGGCGGGACAGGGAACCCACGAGGGCGCCCGGCGCGTTCGCACGTCGGAGCCGCAGCGCCAAGGCCCGGGGCCCCCTTCAGTCCAGGCTCTCTGCTCACCAGCCAGGCCCCATTTTCAGCTTCCAGATCAAACAAAGCCCCTGGCTGGAAAAATTAACACTCTGGGATGAACTAAAGGGTACCCTCAGTAACGTTATTTTCCCAGCTGCAGGTTTCACAGCGGCATCCCCATTAACCCTGCGTGAACACAGCATGCCCCCCGCCCGGCACCACGCAACAGTAGGTAAATGATTTCCAAAGGCCCCATTTCAGCTTCAATCACGGAGCATTCATTTCAAACGTCATCTGAAAGAATAAAGTATTTTTCCTAGATAGAGAATAACTGCTCCCGTGAAGCCATTAAGCCCTATTGATTATGTAATACCTTTTTTAAATTCTCTAAATAAGAGGGAGTGAACATGGAAGGAGCTATTGATCCCTCCAGCTCCTCCGTCTGAAGGCCTGGATCGCGGGCGGGCCGGCCCRGTCTCGCCGGCAGCCCCAGCCTTGGCGCTTCCCCTGTTCCGCTCCACGCCGGGCGTCCATCCCAGATCCCAGGGAAAAAGCCTGGAGGAGGCGCAGGGATGGAAACAGGTTCAACATTCAAAGTCATCCCTGGAAGAAGTAAAATGAATGACACCCAGATTTTCATTTACGTTGAACGATACGGCTGCAATTGGAAACTATATGGAAGTGCATATGTGAGTGCTCCGTAAAAGTCAGGAACACCAGTGCAAACACTGCCTTTTAGATCCGCTTTTTCCTTTTTGCTTTTGCTCCTGCTCAGCGAGATCCCATCCATAGGTCTAAGGCTTGGAAAACTTCCACATGGTTTTACCTCATTTATGGGCCATTTCAGGAGTTGGGCCGGGGGGTGGGTCTCCTTTCCTAAAATCTCACTTAAAACATAAACCAAGCAAAACCTATATSAGCACTCCCCCCCATCCAACAGGCCCAAATATGCTTCTGAAAACTAGGAAATACATAGAAAGAAATTGTAAATGACACTGGTTAACATATCTAATAACTCTCCAATGTCTCTTCAAGATAAAGCCCTTTAATACTAACTAATCTCTGTTGGATCTTTTAATTTTCATTACACAAGGAGGAGTTGCTAAAACATTGCCAAGAGTCTGTATGTGTGAAATTGGAAAAAAAAAAATTGATTATTTCTTCTTGCAAACTGATTAACCTCTCGCAATTTTAGACCTATATCCACCACAGTAGTCTTTATTTTCAGCTCTTTCAATGCACTAACAGCAACTCCATAACAAAACACGGAATTTCTTGCCAACAGCTTCATCACTTCCAAGATCAAACGTGTCCTGCCACCACGTGATGTGACTGCCTCTGACCCAACCTTGTCCACCCGTACAGGTTTCGGGAGAGCATCACGGACCTCACGGACCTGCGTGGGGTTTTTCTGCTCCCACTGCACTCCAGCCCACTGGCAGTCAAACAATTATGTGAAACAACGCAAGCCCTGCAACAAAACACTGATCAGCAATTTACTCTATTAGCCAGATTAACTCCAAGGAAACACACACACACATTTACATATATTAATTTGTATTGCATAAAAAGGAAATAAATTAAACAGTTAATTGTTGTGTTTATAGGACAGATTGATTAAACGTGGGATTTCAGCACATTTGAGTTTTCTCCTGGTAAGGATGGAGTCAGCAAATAAGAATAGTTAGAGAAAGCGGAACACCTTGCAGCACTACTGAGGCAAGAGGTACCAGCCCATTTCTGCCACCATCTCTGGAGCTTTACTCATGCAATTCCTTCTGAAAGCTCCGCACCAGTTCCGTACCTAACACAAACATAACTGAAGAACAACAAAACATGTTGAGGGAAGCGCTGCCAACAAGCAATCTCCTCCTGAAACTACGCATTACTCTTCCAAAAGGCTGGCAAAGGGCTTGGCTGCAGAATTCCCATTAATTTTCAAGGAACTGTGTGGTCAGAGACAACCTGTGTGGCAGCTTCTGCAATGATCCTCCAGCCAGCATTGCTCATACCAAGAGACTGGCATTTGGGGAGGAATATTAATGTGATTTGTCCCTGCTTCTCAATCAACAATTAGTCACCCACAGCAGACTACACTGGAAAACATCTTTCAACAAAGCGTATAAAACATACTACTCAAGAGGTTAACTTCTATTTCAATATTTCATTCATTACAATGAAAACAATTTCATGATAAATGAAGCGAACTTCTGCAATTATAAAACCACATTTTTATTTTTACCCAGTAAAACAATGCATTACATCAACGTACCTAAAGAAGTAGAACTGAAGCCACCATCATGAGCAATTATTGTATTTTGTTATAGCTTCATAAAAGGATATTGTTATACAAGCACCGAATATCCTATAATCCAAATTAAGGCTCTATTCACTAATGAAAGTATTTTTTACGCATAAGCTTTAAAGCCAGAATGCAAAATGAACAGTGCACTGAAATATGCTATTGTTTGACTAAGTATTAACTGTGCAGTTCTTTAGATCTTACTGAATACCACTAATGTAATTTGCTATTGTTCAATCCCTTAGCTAAAGAAAAGAGGGGGGAGAAAAGCAGCTCTCAGATTTTCACATATTTCTGATTCCATTAATATCTGACACAAGAAAGGAATTTGCAATTTATGGTACCTGAGAAAGCACCTCCCGCCAACCATGCTCTTTTCCACGAGGATGTGAGCAATGGAAAGCCTTGGAGCATCACAGCTGACCGTGCATCTCCACAAATTGACTTTGACTTTTACTATTCTGGGGATCTTTTTCCATTGATGACATTGAGAAAAAACAAACCTCAGAAGGAACCCTGTTCCGCYGGTCCGAACCCCACCTCTGAACCCCACGGCAGCCACTCACTGTGCACAAAAGCGATACTCGTTTCAATGTTAGAATCAGGAATGCAGGATGGAGAAGGGAAGGACATGCCCATTTCCAGACTGCAGTAACAATTAGCAWCTGATACCCGAAGCTGTTTGGCAGCAGCAAGACTATCTGGCACTGTAGGAGGTATTAAAAGATTTAAGGGACTTGCGCAAAAAAAATAGATCAAAGCAGCAAGGGAACTGCACAATTTGCAATTATTTGAGCTCTGAAAATAAAAGTTGTTGTAAAAAGCGATCAAAAGAATTCTTGGAAGAGCAAAGCGGACGCAGCTCGTGGAAACCTCTACTCACCCATCACCGACAGCTCCGCAGAGCCACTGCTGTTCTCGTTCTTGTAGGTGACGAGGCAAGTGTAGGTCCCAGAATCGTCATCRGTCACGTTAGAGATGAGTAAGTTACTGCCAGCCAGTAGCGAGTACTTTCTGGACCTGAAACAGAGAGAACATGTTAGGATGGTTTATCTCTCTTCCCAGAAGATAGTTCTCACAATACATTATCCACAAACTACTCCCAAACAGTTCTCAGCTGTGATTTTACTGCTAACAACTTCACCCTCCCACTTTAAAGGCCAGCCCGAAGGTCTCTCCTGGCAGCTGCTATTTCTGCCCCAAACCTGCTGGCAGCGGGTACCTGAGGGGCAGCACTTGGTCCCCGCGCAGCCACGTGAAGGTGGGATGGGGCGAGCCCGAGACGCAGCACTCCAGCACGGCGTCCCTGCCCGCCACGGCCACGACGCTCGACGGGCGCTGYAGGAAGAACTGCTGCCGCTGCAAACCCGGATCTGCAAGAGCCAAGAGGGACAGGGTCGGCCAACACGGACCAGCACAGCGAGCCCCACGCRCTTTTATTCCCTGGGAAATACAAAACTGCGGATCGGTAACGGGCCCGGGAGGCTGCAGCTTTCACAGATCCTTCCTGATGGGGGAAAAATAGGAARTTATAGCAGAGGGATGTAAAACGCGCATCAAGTGGCAATCTCACAGAGCCGCTTACGGATCAAACCCAAGGGAGCACTCGGAGGCAGAGCAGCACCAGCTTTCTTCAAGGGGAGGAAGGAGTGTTTAAACACCAGGAGGAAAACCAGCTCTCGGCAAGCCCCAGGAAAAGGCACGGTCCCAGCAGAAGAAGGCAAAGGCAGATGCACTTGTAAGGGTGAGACAGGGACGGGGTTAATGGCACCGCTTTGGAGCAGGGAGAGGGAAGTTCATAAATATGAAAGGTGAGAAAAGGAAAGTGCCAAGTGAGGCCGAGGAAAACAAATGTGAAAAATGAAATAACTCAAAAAATCTAAATTGAAAAGGAACAAGGAGAGAGATGAATGGCCCAAATTCTCCTTTGCATTAGAGGGAAAAGGCAGGAAGCATCAAAGCCTGGAGAAAAGGGGACAACCCTGTTCCGCAGCCCATGTGCAACGCAGCAGAGCTCGTTTGGTTGTACTGGGGACTAAAGCGTACCTGTGCTATTATTCTATTCTCTGTGATGATTACATCTAGACTAACGACGCCTCTTGAGCTAAACCATTTACATTTTCAGCTCGACGCCCGAGAAGCCTCTGTGTGGCCACATGAACGTCGCTGTACTTTTCAATGCTTTGTGCCACTGAACCAGTAATTTTCAGCTTCAAAAAAACCCAGCCTTCCACGTGTGACATTTTCACATTGAATGAGTAGATTTTAAGCACGGGGACGCACGGCGAGCTCCGTGACAGGCGTCTGAATGAAGGACACCCCGGGGAAGGCTCGCGGTCCCGATGACAGCACATGGACCTTCTCCTCACGCCCTTCTCCACTTGATTAAAGACCGCTCAGTACGTTCCCCCTGAAAAGGCTCTCGTAAGCCATAATCAAGCCACATAATCACCCAGCAATGGATGAGCTTTAGTAATCAAGAGGTATTAAGCAAAATCCTGCTTCCATCCTAGTCATCGATCCGGTTGAGCCACCACCTCCTCTCTTACACGTTGTGCCCGACGTCCAGGGCATCTTTTGGCCCTGGACTTCAGTGTTGGTCCATCGTGAAGCAAACTGTGAGTCGATGCGTGACGAGCTGCCTCTCTGAGCAAGCGGCCCGGGACCCTCTGTTCCCGAGCGTCCCAGGCAGCACAGAAGTCATCGTCAGCGTGAGCCTTGCCATGTGAAATACAGAGCCGCACTCTCCCCCCACAAAACTGCAATTTAATTAATGTTTAAGAACAAGTACGGACTAAAACCAATTACAACCAAAGCAGCGAATGAACTAATTTCCTGAACAAAGCAGAAATTCTCACTTCTTAGCTAGGATTCTTCCCAAACACAACAGCCAGTACTGCTCTTACCACTATGCATCCACCTGCCGTAGTCCCTAAACTGATGGCACACAGGATGGCTGAGGTTGGAAGGGATCCCTAGGGATCACCCAGAGCTCGGGGCACCCGGTCACATCCCGGCGGGTTGGCAGATCTGCAGAGCAGGAGCCTCCGCAGCCTCCCTGGGCAGCCTGGGCCAGGGCTGGGCACCCTCAGAGGGAAGAAATTTCACATACAGTTAAAATTCAAAACGACAACTAGGATTTGTGTTTGATTTTGATACTCTCCACTAACAGTGAGTTCTGTGAATATGGTGCTATTTGTATAAAAAATACCTATTCTCATAAAGCCGTATTATTGTCTCCTTTTTCTAGATGGCAATGGGCTGAGATGTTCTGTGACACAGCTAAGATATATGGGTAAATATACATACATGTATATGTAGGCCCAGGCATGGAAATTAGCTTCTGCCCATTTTTATGGGGAAGACATAGCTTCTATTACACCTTATGGACATAATTAGTTAATGATAGTTCTCTAATGATTGTTCTCTAAGACAGACAGACACTCAGCTTTGCATGAGCATACACTGATAGAAGCTGAGAACATATTTACTCTCTTATTAAATCAGTCTCAAACAAGTGTAAGTCAAGAAGGAGCAAGTGTTTTCTGCCAAAAGAAAATGCCATTGCAAGTTGCCTCGGATTCAGCCCGGGAGATGCAGCACTTGAGCACGGACAAGAAAAAATGTTTCTGCAGTATTTTAGCAATACGGTGCATTAGGAAAAAAGAAGAAAATGCTCACATAAAAAATGAGCCGAGTCCTGGAGTATTGCTTTGCACTGCACCACGCGACTTTGGGCATTTGGAAACGTTGCTCACTTGACAAAAGGCTCCCACATTACGCCCATGAAATTTTTCTGAACACACTCGATAATACCGTACTCGGCCAGCACAATTTATTTTTTATTGCAGCAGTTTTTATATTGCAAATTACAGAACCGAGCTGCCGTTAATACGACACTGATGTGATGGAATATCTTTAAGTGTTCATAGCCACATTTCCAAATTTGATTAAAAGAGATAAGGATTTATACCAACTAAAACCCAATTTTGCTCTCTGCTGTCAGCGAAGAAAGGGCAGCAAAACTCCCCGACCTGATCTCCCCATCATGCCTGAAGGCTGAACACTTAATCCCAATGAGAAAGCAAGGGTTATGTGTGAACAGGGTTAGAAAAATCTGCCATTAAAGCGATACTGATCTCTCAATATACAGAATGCATTAAAATGTATAACCCGACTGCGAGGGGATTTGCTTCCCTCCCCGCAGCCCCCTTGCAGGCTGCCTCCTGCTCCGTCCCTTCCCAGGAAAGGCCCTCCTGGCTATGGGATGTGGCACGTCCCGGAGCACACAACCAGGAGCACATGGGGCGCTCTTCCTGCTGGAGTCACTTCCAAACACATTAGCTAAAGTGGGAGGAAAGCGGTGCCAAGGCACTACGGGAAATTACTGCCATACATCAGGGGTCCTCTTCCCAGCGTTAACGACGGCTTGTTGTGCCGCTTCCCGAGCCATAATGAGGACAAAATATTTACAGGCCTTTCAGCTTGTTCTTTGGGGTCCTTAGATAAAAGGATAATGCAAAATTTATTACGGATGCAGCTGCACAAGTAGGGAAGGGACCCTGGTGTTTTGTTTTGCCTGTTTTTTACAAGACAAGACAAAGTCGTCTCTTCTGTGACCATTAAAGTTTTAAGAGGCGAAAACGCAACAGACTGAGGAGCTGCAGCACAATCACGTTATCTTATATCCTTAAACCGGGGATGGGAGCTGAGGGGGGCTCCCTTGGATGCAGGGAGGCGAGGAAGGGAGCGGGGCCTTCATCCAGCCAGGACCCGCAGCGACAGCGGGGCTGAGAGGGATTTCTGATGTGGCCACATGAATATAACTTCAGCAAGAGAGAAATGAGAGAATTCAAATTAGTTTTGCATACTCCCAAGTCCTTGTTTGAGTTGGAAAGTTCAAGAACAGGCTTAAATCAACCCTTAAAAAGCATGGTAGCAACCCCGGGCTGATTCATAGCTTTTAACTGGTGAATGGGAKGAGCTTTTAAACCATCCTCCAATCCTTCTCCAGCCCCCAACAACACTGCTGGATAGTGGTCTCCCAGGTAGACCCATATTCCGGCAGGTCCAACACAAGCCCCTCAAGTTGGGGAGCGATGGAGCTGCCGCCCAGCAGCCACTTGTGGTGGTACCTGCAAATCTTCTCAACAGCAGCTTTGTTTTCTTCCCATTCGTGCACAGAGCTGCTACAGGCTACGTGAGATGATGCAGGATGAAGTCTACATCTCAGGCTCTTAGTGCGACTCCCCTAAAGATCCACCTGCTCTGATCATTTGTAGTTGGAGACTTAACGTGATTTTCTAATTTCTTAGTTAAGAGGTATAGCCAGATCCCTACCGAGGTCTCCTGTGGTGTTTGCATACAGGGACTTTGGCTTATTTTAACTGCTCCAACGATTCTGTTTCTGTGACCTTCCAAGACGCTGGCCTGATAAACCAGTAACTACTCAAAGGGGATTTTGGGGTGGATGATGAGGGAAGGAGGTTGATTTGATTCTAGTATCGGTAGCCCCAAAATGTTTCTTCCAAACTTACCAAAAACAAAAAAGAAACAGTCTTCAAAACTTGTGGTCAACAACTAATGGTGTCGAGAATATTTTGGATCCCTTAGAACTCTGTTTTTTCCCTCTGGATATGATGAACTTAAAACATYTGATTTTGGACAAGATTTTTAAGTCACTATCTAGACAGCACTGGAATAAGAAAAAAACAGGTATTATCATTAAATATCCAATGCCATAATACAAGCACCTTTTTCCCCCCAAAATTATGATTTTTTTATTGAACATTTCTGCCCTGCAACCGTAATTACTGAAACCTGCTCTAGCACTTTCATCCTTTTAGAATAAACTCACAAGAAAATGGTTTCAGGTATATTTAAAAAACAGACTTGCACTTTTCTAATTCTCAGCATCTTCCACGTCTTTAATTCCCTCACCTCCAACAATTCCTTCAATGCCTCCAAAGTCTAGTCCCATACTTTAATCTGCAATCACTACTGCCAGACTTGGTCCCAATGTTCAGAGCTGTCCTTTGTTCCTTTCTAGCCCMTTTGTTGGGGACAGGACTTGGGTTTCCACCAAGATGGCCAAGATTTGGGTTTCCATCAAGGTTGCCTCTTCTCTCTGTGTCACAGCAGCACTGGGGGCATACATAAAATACGTTTCATTTCCACAATATCCATTCAAAGTATTTCACTTTAAGTCTCCCTGCCTGCTCTTCTGACTCTTGCATGGGGCACTTCTCCTCTGCTTTGAAGAGAGCACCTTCCAAATGGTTGTGCACATCAGAGCGCCATGCGCTTGGCTAGCAAACCAGGTCCATGGCCAAGGGAAAGCARAGCTTTGTGTACTGAAACACATTTAAAAACT